TTTTTTTTTTTTGCACATTGTTATCTGTCTTTTTGTAAATCCCCCACATAACCATATACTCTTAATTTAGTTCTCTTAAAATCAACCTCTTCCATTTTATTTAAATCTTCACCTCAAGATCTCTTGAGTCTAAGAACACAAAAATAGAGATTGAAAATAATTTTGTGGTCCGTCTTATCAGTTGTTGTTCAGACTCTTGCCGATTCGCATGTGTGGACAAGAAATAAAATATTTGCACATAAAATAGTGAAATTTATTTTCGAAAGAAATAATAATAAACAATTAAAAAAATAAACATTAAAATGGAATTCCAAGAATTCCTCAAGACCTGGCTTATGGTCTTAGTAGTTCATAGTATTTTTATTAGCCCGATATTTGGACAAACAAATGGTGTTGCGCCCAATGCCTATACAAGTAGGTTAAAGTGAAGAAGAATTTGGATCAAATATATGGTCCCACAGGACCATTTTATTTATTTTTATTCATTTATTTTTACTCCATTATTTTAAAAAATAGATTTAATTAAATTTGAGAAAAAAATTAGAAAATTTCTTAATTTTTCTCTTACATTTCAGGCTGTTTTACCCCCGACTACACCCAAGGCTACTGTGTTCCAATGGCCAAGTGTCGTCGCATTGAATGGCTTGTCCAGAATTGGTCACCACCCTATCCTGAGCACATTACACGCTACATACGTCAAAGTCATTGTGGCACTCGGGCGAATGTGGTTAGTATTCAGTAAATAAATAAAAAAAATTAAATTAACAAACAATAAACAATGATGAATGTCAAGTTTGAAAATAAAAACACACTTTCTAATATTCTCTATTCTATTTTCTATTCTTAACAGCATTACGCCTGTTGTGCTTTCTATGATGTCAACGATAGCAATTTGCAGCAGCATCATTTGCACTTACATCAGCATCATCACGCCCCTCCACCTCGGCCTCTACAGTTTCCCGGACAATTGCCTAAGCCATCACCTTCGCCGTCCATGGTTCATAATCCCCATTATCCCTATCACAGTGGTTCACAGGTGTTGACAAATGGCGAGGCGGCAATTGCCCCAAACTCACCACCAGCACGATTCCATCATCGTCCCGCAGTGAATTATCTACAAGCTCCGCCGGGTGAACGTATTCTACGTTCAATGCCTTGCGGACATTTGAATGGTGATCGCATAGCAAATGGAGAAATTGTCAGACTTTCAGAATATCCTTGGATGGTGTTGTTGGAATCGAGAGGATGGAAGAAATCTAGGCAGCGTTTTCGCTGTGCCGGGACATTGATCACAAATCAATATGTTCTCACCGCAGGGCATTGTGTGGAGCCAAGTAATGAGGTGTAAGTATGGGAAACGACCCAAAGACTTATTGTGAAACTTTCAAAAAAATCCAAGGACCAGCCAAGGTTTTGTTTTAATGATTTAAAAATTCATAAAAAATCGTAGAAAATAGAAACTTTTCAAATCTCCAATAACTTAAAGAAATATATTGAAAAAATCCATATTTCCAAGGGCTTGGAAGAACGTTCAATAGGGCTTAAAGAATATTCTTAGGAATCCATGCGTAGAGACCTGCTAGGACTTGGAAAAATATTCTTCAAAATCCAAGTATCAAGCCCTCCAAGTCTTTTAAGCCTTGAAAATATATTTCTAGAAAATCCTGAAGTCTTCTAGGCTTCAAAAAATAGTCTTGAAAACCACGTTTAGAGGCATCCTTGGGTCTGGACAATAAAATTAATTTATTAAAAAATGAAACCAACCATGCGTAGAGACCTGCTAGCGCTTGGAAAAATATTCTTAAAAATCCAGATACCAAGAACTCCAAGGGCTTTGAAATTTTTTCCTTAAAAAATGGTCTTAAAATGAGGTCTTACAAGGCTTGAAAAATATTCTACAGAAATTCCTGTTTAGAGATCTGCTAGGACTTCGAAAAATATTTATTGGAAACCAATTTCAAGGTCTGCTACTTTTAAAAAAGTTCCCCTTTCTAAGTTTCTTAGGGACTGCAAAATGTCCGTAAAAAATACATTCTTAAAAATCCTTGTGTAGAGGACTTCTAGGTCTTTTAGAACAAGTTTAGATTTGTTCGAATTGGCCACCTTTGACACGAATTATGGCCTTCAAACGGCCAATGAAACCGTCACACGCTGCCCGAATGTTGCTCGGGGGTATTTTGGCGCATTTCCGACGAAGCGCTTGCTTGAGGTGATCGACACTTTGGTATTTTTTAGTTCCAACCTTGCTTTCCAAAATACTCCAGACACAATAGTTCAACGGATTGGTATCCGGAGATTTTGGTGACCACTGTGCGCGGGCAATGAAGCGAGGAACCTAATCTTGTAAGCATTCTTGGGTGGTGCGTGCTGAGTGCGATGGTGCTGAGACCTGTTGCAATGTCCAAGGTCTACGGCCAAAATGTTTGCGTGCCCAAAGCTTTAAAACACCCTCTAGAATATTTTCACGATAATATTCGGCATTTATTCTGATGACACGGTCGATCAATATGAGCGGAGAGCGACCATCGACTGTTATGGCGGCCCACACCAACACCATGACCGGCGCTTGAGTTCTGATGGCCAATCGAATGTGCACATTTTCAGCTGACATCTTTGGCAAGTAAACACGATCATTTTGTTTGTTTACAACCTGCAGGACTACGAATGTTTTCTCATCGAAAATCGGAAATCACCATTCCTACGCAGAGAACCATAATGTACCACGGTATAAGACTCGACAATAAACTGACGTTTTCGTCGCAGTTGAGCCATGCAGCCGAACTTGGCAAACTTCGGAGGGCCCCCACCCTGCAAGAGGATGTTACTTATGGAGGCATGTAACATCAACCTACTATACGGATGTGAAATCTGGGCCGGGAGCATGCTCAATAAGCAGAGGGCACAGAAACTGCTGAAAGCACATAGAACGGCATCTGCATACCGCACGGTATCAGGACTAGCGAGTATGGTATCTATCGATTTGGTAGCAGAAGAGAGGCGGAAAATATTTGAGGCCAACATGAAGTCTTAAAAATTTGCTAAAATAAAAGAGGAGACTTTCGAAAATGGCAGACACTCTGGATGGCGAGAGACATATAGAAGTTGGACAGCTAGGGTCATCCCAGACATAGAAGCATGGACAAAACGGAAATACGGCAATGTAAACTATTACATAACACAGATACTTTCCGGATATGGGTATTTCCGTAAATAGCTGTTTAAGCACGGAAACGGTGATTCCCCTTATTGTTTGTATGAAGGAGACATTTTAGACGACCCAGAACATACATTCTTCTATGCGGTCGGTAGACAAACCTACGCTCAGAAGTAGAACTGCAAACAGGCGCAATCACAATGACGAACATAGTTGCGAAAATGATAGAGGCCGAAGAAAACTGAAATGTAATTTCCAAGTTCTGCGAGTTTTTATTAAAAATAAACAAGTAAAAAAGCTGCAAGTTCGGCCGGGCCGAACTTTGAATGTCCTACACCAGTTGGAACGATTTTGGCAATTCTCAAAAACAATAAAAACCGTTAAAAATTCTGTTAAAATCTTAAAAATACCGAATGTAGCTGTTATATTGGGGTCTATATAACGGCATGGACCTGCATAGGTAGGTCATAAGCCATAGCAATATTCAAATGCGAAACTTAAAAAATCGGTGAATAATGTATCTAAAATCACCAAAATACCGAATATCGGGATGTACCGTTATATGGGGGCTATACGAAAACGTGGACCTGCACAGACAATCTTCTGTCATAGGCTGTAGCATCCATTACGAACATCAAATACCAAATTTGAAAGAATTCCGGTAAATAATGTCGCTAAAATCATCAAAAAAAATAGGCTGTAGCATCCATTACGAACATCAAATACCAAATTTGAAAGAATTCCGGTAAATAATGTCGCTAAAATCATCAAAATACCGAATATCGGAACCATACCAAAACTTGGACCTATATGGCCCATTTTCAATACCAAAAGTCCTGCAGACATAATATACATTTGTGTAAAATTTTATCAATCTACTTCAATTCGTTCGGAAGCTTTGTGGGGTCTAAAATGTATATTTCGAGGTGTTACAAACGGAATAACAAACTTAATATACCCTCCATACTATGGTGGAGGGTATAAAAAGAGGGACTTAGACAACCCTCTAAGACCTCGAAACGAATAGCGGAGCTTGGACGCAAGCTGGAAGAAGAAGGCCTTAGAAGCCCGGGAGCCACCTCGAAGTTATATGAAAGTGGTGCTGAGGTGGTAGTAACTCCGACGATGAGTGACGGCTGACGTGAATGCGTAAATGTGCTTTTTCCCAACTGATCCGAAAAAATATTATTTTTATAGTAATATTTTTATTATTCTCTTCAATCTTACCGTATTTTAGCTTCTCCATACGTCTGGGTGATCATAACCTCAAAACCGAACAAGATTGTGAAAATTACAAATCTAGCCGCAAATGGAATTGTGCACCGCCCTATGAAGATGTTGGCATTGAAAGCGTTTTTCTACATCCCAATTATAAACTGCATCCCATACAACATGATATAGCTCTGATACGCCTGCAGAGGCCGGTGACATTTAATAGTGAGGATAGAAGTATTACTGCCAAAACTTAAATACAAATTTCATTTATTTGTTTACAGCCCATATCAAACCGATTTGTTTGCCCTTGGACTCGGCGGTGCAACCACACATAACCTCCCAACAAATTGTGGCCGGTTGGGGGGTGACAGAGAAAGGTATATCTCAATGTCTCTAAATTCTCCCTGATTCTCACTTTGTTTGCTCATTACAGGTTACGCCTCGGATATTTTGCTCAGGGCTCCCATAGCTCTACAAAATATTGCGATATGTCAAAATTTCTATCCTCACAATGCAATTGCCCCGGAGCAATTTTTGTGTGCCGGTGGCGGAGCCGATAAGCGTGGCACATGTCGGGCCGATTCGGGAGGACCCATGTTTGCGGCCGTTCCCTACGAACATCAGCAATTGCGTTACGTTCAATTTGGCATAACATCCGGTGGTGGTTACGGCTGTGGTGGCAAAAATAATTCACCCGGCATTTATACGAATATACGAACTTATATAACCTGGATAATTAGTAATATTTTTTGAACAACAACAACAGCAGCAACAACAACAATGCTATTCTACATAAATCAAATGAAAGGAAATGTGATTAAGTTGTTGTGAAAATTCATGAAAAAAGTAGTAGTGTTTGAAATAAGTTGTTATAATTGAATTACGTCGACAGACATGTGATTATGTTTTTTTTTTTTGTTTGTCGGGAGACGGGTGGGAGATGACGCTTTGATAATTTTCACAATTAGAAGTTTGGTTTAATTAAATAAATGAATATAATTATATAAAAATACATATATGTATATAAAAAAAATACAAAAAACACCTACATCCAGTTGTGTCTATTTATGTTAGATTTTTCACGCTCGATAGTTTTGCGAACTTGCAAATGGTGTCAGGTAATTTTTTTCGATGCGACCCCCATTCTTTTCTTTCTATTCATGTTTGCCAGACATCGTGAACAAGCATTTGTTCCGATATTTAATTTAATTGCATTTGGTCACGTGGGATTAATTGAGGGCAAGACAACAATAAAAAATCGCATCAATTGATTTAATATTTTATAAAAATCTGAAAATACTTTTAAAAACTATGCGATTATATGGCTTAAAACCATTAAAAAAAATTAAAAAAATTACGATAATAGCTCAAAAAGACCTTGAAAAAAATATTTTTATAAATGAAAGAATAACAACTTAGAAAGGCTTTGGAAATAAAATATCTGGGAAAGATCTTGAGAACATATTAAATTCACCAAATTTCAGATTTCGAAAACTTTTTTTTTAAATTTTAAATGCATTTTTATGGACAAAAACAAAAAATATTTAATCATCTTAAAAATGGTTTTTAAAACACAACTATTAAACGGTGCAATGAAAAAAAAAACATAATTTGCCCCTCTTCCACATTTTAAATTTTCAGTGACAAAACAGATGACAGTAACACAAGGTCGACGTCGGTACTTGGCGAGATTTTGTATAATTTTTGTTATATGTTTAAAATATTGTTCCTGATAATGTCTTCCGACGGAGGACGAAATATCGAAATATTATCAAAGAAAACAACAAAGACATCGAACTCAATTTTAGTAAACAGTTGAAAATTCTTAAAATAAAGGTCGAATAAAATGACTAAAAATCAAAAAAAAAATCGGATTAAGATTCCTTGGAATCCTTGTATTTCAGTTATATAGTGTCTTCCCCAATATTACTGATAACAATACCAGGATTATTTTGGACAAGATTTTAAACTGCAAAAGGGTCTTTTTGGTCTTTTTTTTCAAAATGTGGTTAAAACTCCCTTTAAACGGGATCGTAGAGGGTCAAAATATTTTACAAAATTATTTTTCATAAAATGTCACTACAGATTCAAAAACATATCAAGATCCTAAATCTTACCTAAGCACCAGAAATTCATATACAGAGTGAGATAAAAAAAAACTGCAACAAAGTCAAATTTTAGAATAAGTTTAGATTTGTTCGAATTGGTAACCTTTAGCACGAATTATGGCCTTCAAACTGCCAATGAAACCGTCGCACGCTGCGCAAATGTTGCTCTGCGGTATTTTGGCCCATTTCCGGCGAAGCGCTTGCTTGAGGTGATCGCCACTTGGGCATTTTTGAGTGCAAACCTTGTTTTCCAAAATACTCCAGACCCAATAGTCCAACGGATTGGTATCCGGAGATTTTGGTTGCCATTGTGCACTGAAAATGAAGCGAGGAAGCTCATTTTGTAACCATTCTTGGGTGGTACGTGCTGAGTGTGATGGTGCTGAGTCGTGTTGGAATGTCCAAGGTCTGCGGACAATATATGTGCGTGTCCAAGGCTCAAATACACCCTCCAGAATATTTTCGCGATAATATTCGGCATTTATTCTGATGCCACGGTCTATTAATACGAGTGGAGAGCGACCATCGGCTGTTATGGCGGCCCACACCATCACCATGGCCGGCGCTTGAGTTCTGGTGGCGAAGGAGCACATTTTCAGCTCACCTCTTTGGCAAGTAAACACGATCGTTTTGTTTGTTTACAAACTGCTTTTGAATCTATTTTCTGTTCTTTAAGTTGCGGTGTAAGTTCTTGCACTTTTTGAAATTTCAATGGCTTTACCCCGAGCTCATTTTTCAATATTTTCCGAATGAAATATTACGATATGTTCAGTTCACGAGCCATTACGGCCACTACGAAGCGAGTTTCGATCAAGTCGCTTCTTTACTTTTCGAACCATTTCTGCTTTGATGTCGGGCTGCACTACCAGTATCACGTAACGAGCGATGGTATCAGACACAAGAGATTTATTCACATTTAAATGCTGGAATGCTCTAACCATAACCACTTGTGGTTTTCCAGCCAAATATAAAAAAATCACACTATCACGCTTGAATTCCACCACGAATAATTTTTTTCTGGAAAATTCTCACTAAAATGCTTTTGTACGCTTGTAAGCACTATAATGAGCTGTCACTGGAATAATTTTAACAGCTGTCGGACGGGTGGTATTGAAATGACAGGAGTCTGAAGTTGGTTGCAGTTTTTTCGGACAGGTCGAACTTTGGATGCCCTTCAACATTTGGAACGAATGTGCCAATTTTCAAAAAAAAAATTACATCCGTTAAAAACTCTGTTAAATTTTTAAAAAAGCGAATGTAGCCGTTATATTAGGATCTATACGACGACATGGACCTGCACAGGCAACTTTTGTCATCAGCCATTACAATATTCAAATGCTAAACTTGAAAAAAATCGGTGAATAATTTCGCTAAAATCATCAGAATACAGAAAATCGGGAGGTACTATACGAAGACGTTGACCTGCAACGTCTGTCATAGGCTGAAGTATCCACTACGAATATCAAATTCAAAATTTGAAACAATTCCGGTTAATAATGTCGCTAAAATCATAAAAATACCGAATATGGGGAGGTACTGTTATATGGCGAAAACGTTGACCTGAACGGACAATTTTCTGTCATAGACTCTAGTATCCGTTACGAACTTCAAATACCAAATTTGACACAATTTCAGTGAATAATGTCGCTAAAATCATCAAAGTACCGAATATCGGGAGGTACCGTTATATGGGGGCTGTACGAAGTCGTGGACCTGCACAAACAATTTTCTGTTTTAGGCTGTAGTATCCATTACGAACTTCAAATACCAAATCTGAAACAAATCCTCGTTTATAGCTCTGGAAAGCCATTAAGAAAATATTTTAAAACAATCAGCGATTATAGCTGTGGAAGTTCTTGAGAAAATATTTTAAAACATCCTCAATTATATCTCTGGAAGCCCTTGAGAAAATATTTCAAATCATCCTCAATTAAAGCTCTGGAAGGTCCTTAAGAAAATGTTTTAAAAAATCCACGATTATAGCTCTGGAAGTTCATGAGAAAAAAAATTTAAAACATCCCCGATTATAGCTCTGGAAAGCCCTGAAGAAAAATATTAAAAAATTCACAATTATAGCTCTGAAAATTCTTCAGAAAATATTTTAAAACATCCTCGATTATAGCTCTGAAAGTGCTTGAGAATATATTTTAAAGCAATATCGAGTATATCTTTCGAAAGTTCTTAAGAAAATATTTTAAAATATCCACAATTATCACTCAGAAAGTCCTTGAGAAAATATTTTAAAACCTCTTTGATTATAGCTCAGGAAGTCTCTGAAAAAATATTTTAAAACATCCTCGATTATAGCTCTGGAAGTTCATGAAAAAATATTTTAAAACATCCTCGATAACAGCTCAGGAAATCCTTGAGAAAATATCTTTAAAAATCCACGTTTATAGCACAGGAAGTCCTTCAGAATATATTTTGAAAGAGTCAACGATCTGAAAGACCTTCAGATAATATTTAAAATTAAAAAAATACTCGATTATACCTTTGAAAGTCCTTGAGAAAATATTTAAAAAATCCACGATTATAGCAATGAAAGTCGCTGAGAAAATGTATTAAAAACTCCAAGATTATGACTCACAAAGTTCTCGAGAAAATATTTTAAAACATCCTCAATTATAGCTCTGGAAAGTCCTTAAGAAAATATTTTAAAAATTCCACAATTAGAGCTCAGGAAAAGGCCTTCGGAAATACTTTTAAAAACCACAAGAAAATCCACGATAATAGCCCCTGAAATATATTTTCAAACTTCACAATTATGACACCGAAAAGATTTCAGAATATGTTTTTTTTTTTTAAATCCACGATAAGAGCAAGACATTTCCTTTACCCTCTTCTCGTTTTTCGTGTCTGATTTCATTTTTCAATTCACAACCCTAACCTCACTTTCATTGATGACCTGCTAATTCCATTAACTCTTGTAACTGATATATCACGTATTTTTTTTTTTTTTTTTTTTTGTTTAATTAAAATAAATAACATCTTAATTTCAATGAACGACTGACTGACTGAATAGAATTCTATTCAATGAAAGAATGGCATGCAATCCACGAATAGTAAGCTTGAACGCCCGTCACATTGTCGTTGTTTTTGTTATTGTTTTTGTTATTGTCATATCGACAATAACATCAAATTATGCGATCTGTTTGCGTTTGAGAATGAAAATTTGTGGAAATGGAAACTAAGAATACAACATAGAACAGACTTGGAACACCTGAGGCAGTGGCCGTGCTAGAAACTAAACTCCCCCCACACACACACAGAGACACCCCATCATCATCCCCTCCCCCTGTCACATTCCGCTTCAACATTCAATTAGGTGCAAATGGTCATTTAAAAGGGCCAAACGCTGTACTACAATGAACTGCGTTCTGAAAAGCTCCACATCAACAATACGGGTGCTACAACCCATTCTACCTGTGTAATTAGTCGCAGCAATCAGCGTGAAAAACACCATGAAAAGCCAACAGGCAGCGATCAAATTCACAAATACTTTGCTATTTTCAAAATACGAACTAACAACCACTGGCTTATTGGCAGTTTGGCGTTAACGTTTTTGAAATATGTCGATTTGAAAACAACATCCAACATTCAGTCAATTCTAGGCACTACCAACAAGCGGTCATCGAAAGCGGGAAAAACTCTCGGGATTGAAAAACGAACCATTTTGAATACAAAATTTTCAATTAAAGTTAACTAAAAATAGCCAACAAAAAACCAAACCCCAAATCCAATTTAAAATGTCTCAATTAACAGTTAGTCGAACAACAGCGACGCAAACAAATCTCATTTTAATTGCCATAATTTTGTACAATTTTAACGGTCCGGCAAACGGTCAAAGCATTCTCGAACGTTTTCGACCCAACTCGAATATAACAGCCAACGTCAATGATGAACAAGTGAAAATAATATCCGGCACCAAAGTGAAACGTTACGAACGCCTAACTGTACCCATAAATGCTGGCACTCTAAATCTCTTGCAACCCCATCCACCGTATGTGGGATTGGCCTATGTACGTACGCCACCAACATCTACATCATCATTTGTATATTTTCCTAAATTAAGGAATTATGTGGTAACACACTGGCCCTTTTATCCGCCGAGGGTAAGGTTGATGAGCCTCTAACGCAAGTTCGCTTTATATTTTTGTTTTCCTACCCATCCACCTATTTCGCGTTCATTAAAATATTGGAAGTAATCATGGAAGTAATCGTTTTTCCATAAAAACAGTGTTTGAAAACACCAAAACGATTGCTGAGAAAAAATATTTCATTCAAAAATTCTGAAGAAATGCAAAAAAGTATTTGTTTCTTAAAATTTTTCAGTTCCGCAGCAAGAACTATACATCGAATACCCCCATGAAGATCTGCTGCAAATAAAAGACGCTCTAACGAAGTTTGATAATCGCAGAAGAAGTCTCCTGTATATAGGAGATCCCCTCAGGATGTCTTAAATGCATAGAAGACCTCCCAGTTCCGGAGGAAGAACTCAGTCCAAGCTATTCTAAACAGTTTTTTTTGCTTTTTGGATTGTTTCATCAATCTGTACTCTTTCTGATTTCTCCCAAGGAGATCTGCTATGCATCGGATAACCCCATGGAGTTGTGCTGCATGTAAAATACCAGCTTACAAAGTGTGATATACATAGAAGAGCTCTTTACTAGGTCTGATATATAGGATATCCCCTCAAGAGGTCTTCAATACATAAAAGGCACTTATTTGGTGTTCTAAACATTGAAGATCCACTTACGAGGTATTTTATACATAAAAGATCCTCTCACAAGCCATCCGCACATAGATGACTCCCATGCGAGGTCCTCTTAACATACTAGACTCCCTTGCGAGATCTTCTAAGCAGAGAAGACCCCTTCTGAAGTCTTTTTTTCATAGAAGACCCCTATAGAAGGTCTTCTATAAATTCAATATCCCCTTACGGGGATTTCTGCATTTAGATCTACCCCTAAGGAGGTACATTTTTCATAGAGTCTTCCTCATATAAATGACCCCTTGCGAGCTCTTCTATACATTTAAGACCCCTTGCCTTGTAAATACGGAAGTCTCCCTGTCTTAAATAGGAGAAAACCATTGGAGGTGTTCTGTCTTCTTCTCTCCAACAATTACTACTCTAAGGTCTTTAGCTTCAACCGCATTTCTTTTGGCCACTTTCTTTCGAAGAACACCCCTTTAAGAGTTTTTCTATTGTTAGAAAGGCCACTCCGTGAATGCCTTTCGAATTTGCTCATCTTGCGCTTCAATCTGATTTCCAAACATTGTCCTTCAATATCTCGTCGTTTTTTTCCCAGTTTTTCATCTTTTCTATGTTCTAAGCTCCCATTTCCTATACCTCGTCAGAATTTCTATTTGCAAATTTGTTGCAATAGTTGATATCCCTTCTCCATCCTCTTTTACCTTTTCTCCCCTAACATTTACTACTCTAAGGTCTTTAGCTTCAACCGAATATCTTATGGCCAGTTTCTTCGAAGGACACATTTTTTCGATGTTTTCTATTATAGAATAGAATATCTATTATAGAAGAGTCTTCTGCAAGGCCACTTAACGAATGCCATTCAAATTTGCCCTTCTTGTGCTTCAATCTGATCTTCAAAACTTCCTCCTCTAATATCTCGTCAGAGCTTTTTCCGTTTTCCATATTTTCTATCTCCTAAGCTCCCATCTCCGATACCTGGCCAGAGTTTCCCTTCGTAAATTTGTTGCAATAGTTGACAGACCTTGTTCATCCTCTTTTATTTTTTCTGCCCCAAAATACTACTACTCTAAACTCTTTAGCTTCAACCGCATTTTTATGGCCAGTTTCCTTCAAAGCACACCATTTCAAATATTTTATTTATCAGAACAGTGTTGGTTGGTTTGTTCGGGATACCGTAGTATTTTGTTGTTGCAAAATGGTCAGACTTAATCCCATTATTGTTGTTTTTATAAAAACAAAGTTTGTTTATTATTGGAGAACGATTGTAATGTTTACCAGGGGGTAAGGCAGGGAATACCAAGGTTTCGGAAAGAGCCACCAATCCTCATCAGTTCCCTTGTTTTTTGGCTGGGATATTCTCTATTATTTAACTCTAGAAAAAAATGTAGAAAGTAAATACAATTCTTTGAACTAACATGATCTTCCCAATTCCCAACTCCAGTATCTAATCTGGGCTTCAAATTTGTTGCCGTAGTTGACAACTTTTCAATATTCTCTATTGACTACCACCCTCAACATTACTACTCTTAGTTCTTTTGCTACAACCACATCACCTAAACTCTCATCTTCTCATAAATTCTTTGCAGTAGGTTAGACCTCTTCCACCTGGGGTTTTCAACATTTTTCAACCTACCTTTACTTAGTTATAAGCTTCAATCTGATCTCCAAGACTCCCACCTCGTCTGGACTTTAGCCACAAATTTGTTGCAGTTTTATCTTTTCTCTTCCAACCTAAAAATTCTTACAATCTGATCTCCAAAACTCCCACCTCGTCAGGACTTTAGCCACAAATTTGTTGCAGTTGTTGACAGTCCTTCTACATCCAATTTTATTTTTTCTCTTCCAACCTAAAAATTCTTAGTGTTTTAGCTTCAACCGCACCTTCCCATCACAGATACGGAATCACCGTAGTGTCCATTTTGCTATATGCCCTAACCTTACACAAACGTTCTCCTTTCTCAGGCCAAAACTCACACTCTCTCCAAAAGTTTGAATATAGAACGTATTTGATTCTTATCGATATGTCCATAGTCTTCCATATTAGTGGAAATAACTTTGATCATTAACTTTGAGATCCTCCCTTTAAGTCTGGTCTGACTACATCAGCTAACTTAATACGTAGATTCTTAATACATCAATTGGACGCTCCATTATTCGCAACCTTTCGACGATTTCCAAAGAAATTTGCTGTATTCCTTACAATCAAATAACACCGCAGTCTCCCCAATGTTGATACGAAGCCAAAAATATGTGAGACTGGATAGTTTGGAAGTTACAATTCATTGTCACGTCAGTCGCTAAACACCAATACTTCTCCACGTTAATATAGAAATCATTGGCACTCGATCATTTCCTTCAAGAAACTTCCTTCAGGATCACTATTTGACAGCACCTTTTAATTAATTCGCAGCTACGACAAGCTTTCGATGAGTCCGATAGCAATCTGTTGGGGTAGAAAATTGAAAATTTTAAAATTGAATAATTTAGGTGGAGCAATCTGCTACCTCGGTTATTTTTAGACATCATTACCAATTGATAATTTCCTTCGAAATCCCGAAATCCCAACTACTGTTTGTGGGACGTACTTTTTAGCATTTTTATACAAAAACAACAAACTTGGATCCTTCTTTATCCTACTCCATATGTACTTCGATATACCATTCACTTTTCAAATTTCTTCTTTAAACCCTACGTATTTTCTTCCATTTATTGTTTCATTTGTTCAGCTTAATTCAAAAATAAATCTAAACTAAAATTGAATCCAGTCCTGCTGCTCTTATATTTCATACTTACAATTAATTGGCTTTGTTCATATTCATTACATCCCCTGCAGCATCACTTTGCATTACACTAATGCCATTTTCCAAAATTTAGGTAGCGCCAAATTGGCAGGCGGGAGCTAAATTAACCGGCGAAGGTATCGAAGGTATGATTACGTTTCAGCAGTTGCCCTACAACAATGACATAAAGGTGACATTAAATGCCACTGGACTGCCGGAGGGAAAACATGCGCTGCACATCCACACCTATGGTGATTTGAGTGATGATTGTAAAGCAACTGGTGGACAATTTCCAAATAATTTTGTAAGTTTAGAAAACTAATTTTTTTGAATTCATTTAAAATAATTGTTAAAATTTGATTTCCTTTCAGTTGGGCAACATTGATGTCAAGGAAGGTGGTGAGGTAAATGTGGCGTTTATTAGCATTTATTTGACATTGTTTGGTTATAATGGCATTGTTGGCCGTTCCGTGGTTATCCATGAGAAACCCATCGACATTAATAGCGCCTTAAACGCCGAGGTATTTTCATCACCCATACATCCCATACCCACTGTCAATCAGGTCTATCAAAATGAGGAAAATTCGGTGGGCGCCTCGATTGCATGTGGCATCATTAGTATTATGAGTTCACCCATACCAACTGTAAATAAAAAATAAGAAGAAGGAAACGCAAATATTTTATAAATATGTAATAAATAATAAATATATGATTTTTTATAAAACAAATAATTTAAATCTGTAAAGAAGATCTATTAAAAGACCTTTTGCAGGGATAGATTATCTATAAAATAGAAGAATGCTCACCTTCTTCTTACCTCTTAATAAAAAAATTATTCAATTCTGTAAAGAATATCTATTAAGAGACCGTTTGTAGGAATAGTTTATCTATAAAATAGATCCTGTAGAGCGTTATTCTTTTTTTTAAATAGGTCTACCTTTAAAATATATGCATCCCTTTTCAATAACCCTATTGTTATGATTTCCCTCAAGAAGAATGTCATGTTAAAAGAAATTATTAAAAAAATGCCGTTAGTTTAAAGAACACCCCTCCACCAGACTATTTCAAAATAAAACCTCGCTTAAGCAAAAAGTTCAATTAAAACCGTCCCACCTACCTGCCATGAAAGATCTGCAAAAATCCCTTAAAATTTGTGGCTATCAGGGACCATGTGAAAGTGAACAAATACTTCGATGGGCCATACGTACCGGAGCCTGTTCGGAATTCTATAAAGGCTTACTGACATGGTTGAAAGACAAACTGCAAACAATCAATTGTACAATGCAAGTTCGAAAAAATATTATGAAACTACTCGACGCCCTGCGCATTTCCATACTCATGATACCACATCATGGTTCCGAAGTTGCCGCAAATCCCAAAGAATTTCGTTTACAAAGTATTAAAACGTTATTACATCAATTGCACCTGGCTCGAATGATGGCCGAAGAAAGATCCCAGCAACAGCAGCAACATCAAGAAAGTCCCGAGAAGGAGCAAAGACTGAATGCTGTACAGAAGGATGATCGTGGCGTTTCGTTGCATGTAACCGTGAATACAAAGAACAGTGTATCGCAGACAGGATTTTGGAATGAACGACTGGTTCGTTATAAACCAAGCTATTTGGAAATGTTCCAATAAGTTGTATACTATTTTATTAAATTATCTTGATGTTACGAATATGAGTTCCATTTTAGAAATATGAATTATGAAGAATAAAGAGTTATGACCGCTGCGAACAAAATTATTGGTCTGTTCCGGAACTGCAAGAATGTAAAAAATTCACTACGATAACCGATTTTCCCACTATAATATCGAAGAAAGTTGCAAAACTCGAAGATTCTTGCAGTTTTTGGAACAGGCCAAATATTTTATTTGTTAATATGTCCTAACCTCAAAAAGTTCAATATTGCCTTAATCGATATCAATACAAAATAGGTTTCTTATTGGAAATATTTACTAATATTTCCCATAAGATTCTTTTTTTTATATATTGTTTGATAGAACTATCCAGAACCTGCAAGAATGTAACCGATTTTTTCTTATTCTTATGGGTTCTGAAACTGAGCAGATTTATAAAGGAAGAAAGGATTTTCAATTCAAAATAAATTTCCTAATATTTTTCATAAGTTATTTTATTAATCTCCAACTTAATAGATCTATAGCAGAACCAGCAAGAATGTAAGAGATTTTTTCTTTATGATATTGAAAATAATAGATTCTTGCAGGATCTACAACAGAGCAGATTTGTAATGCTAATGAAAGGACTCTAAAAATACCTAGTAATGGAATCTTAGTTTAAACCCCCAAATATCTATTTATTATGAAATATTCAGGGTGAGTAATAAAACTGCAACAAAGTCAAACGCCATAATTTTTATTTTTTTTTTTTTTTTTTTTTGTTTAAATTTTATTAAATGAAAGCAAAAAATGTCGGAAATTTCTAAAATTTGATGCTATAATTTTAGAATAAGTTTAGATTTGTTCGAATTGGTCACCTTTGGCACGAATTATGGCCTTCAAATGGCCAATGAAACCGTCACACTCTGACCGAATGTTGCTCTGCGGTATTTTGGTCCATTCCCGGCGAAGCGCTTGCTTGAGGTGATCGACACTTTGGTATTTTTTAGTGTCAACCTTACTTTCCAAAATACTCCAGATACAATAGTCCAACGGATTGGTATCCGGAGATTTTGATGGCCAATGTACACTGGAAATGAAGCGAGGAACCTCATTTTGTAACCATTCTTGGGTGGCGCGTGCTGAATGCGATGGTGATAAATGTCCAAGGTCTGCGGCCACAATGTTTGCGTGCCTAAGGCTTTAATACACCCTCCAGAATATTTTTGCAATAATATTCAGCATTCATTCTGTCACGGTCGATTAATACGAGCGGAGAGCGACCATCGACTGTTATCGGCGTCCCACGCCATCACCATGGGCTGCACTTGAGTTCTGGTGGCCAACCGAAGGTGCACATTTTCAGCTGACCTCTTTGGCAAGTAAACAAGATCATTTGTTTGTTTACAAACTACTGGACAACTAATGTTTTCTCATGGGAGAAAACCAAATTCGACAGTTCACCACTTTCGTCCAAGCCAAGCAACCCTTTAGCTCTTTTAAGTCTATTTTCTGTTCTTTCTGCTGCGATTTAAGTTCTTGCACTTTTTGGAATTTCAAGGGCTTTACCCCGAGCTCATTTTTCAATATTTGCCGAATGGAAAATTGCGATATGTTCACCTCACGAGTCATTTTTCGGTCACGTTCGAAACGAACAAGTCGCTTCTTTACTTTTCGAGCCATTTCTTCTGATATTGCTGTTTTCTTCCGTCCACTTCCTTGACGTCGGGCTACGCTACCAATGTCACGGTAACGAGCGATGGTACTAGACACAAAAGATTTATTCACATTTAAAGGCTGAAGTTCCCTAACGATAGGCACTTGTGGTTTCCAGCCAAATATAAAGAAATCACACCATCACGCTTGAATTCCATCACGAATAATTTTTTTTCTGGAAAATTCTCAAAAATGCTTTTGTACGCTTGTAAACAATATAAAGAGCTGCCACTGGAATAATCTAACAGATTTCGGACGAGTGGCTTACAAATGACAGCAGTCTGAAGTTGGTTGCAGATTTTATATCTCTCCCTGTATCTATTTATAATGAAATACATGCGTAAGAATATTGAAAATGGAAGACTAGGTGAATTCCCCTGAGTCAGATTTGAAAACAAATCCAACATTGTAACCCCTAGACCCAATAATAAGCTTAGCAAACATATTTTCTAAATGGCATTTATTTATTTTCGTATCATTGTAATCATCATAATAGTTATCTGTTGCAAACATCACGTAAATATAAATTTCCATATTGAGTAGATCAATACAAATCTCTTTCAAATGCTAAATTCTTTTAACGTCTACCTCCACGATTATAGTTGGAATGGCCTCGATGGCCACCACCACCGCCGCCGCCTCTGTTGTAATTATCACCACCTCTGTTATAATTATCACCACCTCCGCCTCCACCTCTATTATAATTATCGCCACCCCGGTCACCACCACGATAATTATCATTGCCTCCCTGAGACCAGCCCGTACCCTGAACACGTCCACTGCCTTGGACCCAATGTTGTTGTTGCTGCTGCTGTTGTTGGGGTTGAGATTGATACTGGTTGTGTTGTTGATTTTGTTGATGGCCCTGTCTTTGGGGCTGTGAGGTATACTGTTGCCAGTGACCGCCGCCACCACCACCACCTTGGCCTCCACGACCGCCACCTTGGCCACCACGTCCACCGCCACCACCTCCTCCTCTACCACCACGGAAGTTTCCACCTCCCTGAGGTCCAGAGCTACGCTGTTGCTGCCATGAAGGCATTTCAGGTGGTGGCGGGGCATGTTCATGAGCTCTACCACCACGATCGGGCACTCGACCAATAACATGTTTATGAATTTTCGATCCTGTATTTTTACGCACATTTGCCGAGCTCGTCTTTTCAATAATAGCCAGATCGGCACGAGCTGCCAACAATGCCACAATATCAGTCTCCATGCCACCATATTTATAGCGCTCCAATTCCAACAGCTTCTTTTGGAATTTCTCATCGATCTCCTTTTCACGAGATTTCATTTTATCCGACCACATAAAACTCTGTATGGTCACATCCAAACGTGTCAACAACATTTGCCTTCTCAAATTGTATTCCTCATCCAAGTCCCGGTGTATATCTTCCAGTTGTTCCCACTGTTTATCACTCAGCGACTTGGTGTTTCTAAACAAAGGTTCATTCACAACACCGGGCTTCATGGTGCGTATCACTTCTTCCAATTTGAAATTCAATTTATCAAAAAATGCCTTGGCCGTAATATTCTCTGGGGGTTTTCCCAAACCCAAATCCTTGGTCAGTTGTTCCAACGCCTTTGCCGTGTTTGTCTCGGTCTTGGGTATGACATAGGCCTGCTCAGCCGGCTTAAGTTTCATATACATTTTGGTAGTCATCAGCTCTGTTATCAGATAGTCCAGTAATTGCAATCTATGTTCGCGGCTCTCGAAACGATCCGACAGCGGGCCCGTAACAAAAAAGCTATACGGACATCCCAATTCTTTCAACATGGCCGACAGCTCCATGGCAAATTCACTGGGGTCATCACAGTCTTTACTCACTGATTCATCTGTTTTTCGCAATATGTGCAGTTCCTGGGCCAGCCATGCTACAACTTCGCGAAACTCGGGGCTGCGTGTACCACCCTCCAGCGCTCGTGTCAATTCATCGTTTTGCAGGCACTTTCCTTGATACGATAACGCATTCAGGGAGTCAATGACATCCAATTCGGACTCCATGTTGCAGATTCAGTCGTATATCGTTTGAGTAATTCAAGAAATTCTGAATCTTCTCGATAATTTCCACAAAATGTATATGTATTGAAGCCGGCTGATGCCAACAGCTATTGTGAATGCGAGTGATGTCATTCACAATGCTGTTATTGGCAAATTTAATAGGGTTGCCAAGCAAGAGGTTATTAAAACGTTCGCAGAAAATAATTGAGTGGTGACTGTGTTCCTTACATTCTTTACTCGTAATAAAACACAACATCTTTTGCTACTATTACAACATAAAAATATATAAAAAATAAATTAAAATTAATAATAAACATTACGTTGAAAATTATTGGCATTGTCTAATTTAACAAATCTGGTAGATCACATAATTACCAGATGGATTAGCACTTATTCAAGGCTTCTGGACTAAACATGGTAGAAGAATAAAGTAGTCGCATAGACACAGCTGCTGGGACAATGCACTTTCAAATAAATTTTGGAATTGACATTTTTGAATTAAAAATTATTCAAATTTGAAAAAATGGTTGAAAAATTCAGATTTTAACAACTTCTGATAGGCGTCGTAAAAGAAAATTCATAAAAATCTACTTATTTTTGAAAAATTATTTAAAAAATGTTCACATATCAATTTTCCCCTACCTGTATTCTTCTGCCATGGGAGTAACCTATAAACGGCATGGCGGTCTATACTGATCTTTTGAAGGTGGAAAGTGGAACGGGAGCAGGAGTTTTATGCAAGGGCTAAAACATCAGATGCTCTTTTAAACATACAACTGTACAGAATTCCAATCGGTAATAGTAGCTATCAAAAATATGTTGGGCATTCTCTTCATTCAAATATCAGCTGTTTTTGCTCATTTTTAAATACAGAAACTTTGTTTCTTTATGTCCAAGAATATTAAATTTTTTGCCATCAATTTTGGCATTTATTAAACAACGAAATTCAGAGTGTGGGCACACCACTTCAAATTCTAGCTATCAGCTGTTTTTGCTCTCTCCTCCTTTCTATTCGTAAATTTTTTGGTGATTCGCTCATTTCCTAACGTTCACAACTTACATGGAACGCTTTTAATTGTTGTTGTCATTTGCTACGAAAACAATTTGTTGGATTTGTTTGTGGGTTTGCCTGGATATTTATTTAATTTTCAGTGGTTTTTAAACATCGAAACATGTCGAAAGTGACTGTCCAGGACATAGAGGCAGTGGACGACTATTGGGGTCCTACATTTCGCTCAATTCTAGAAGGTACGTGTAAAGATACCAATCTTAGATCCATGACAAATCAGTTCTCAAATACGCCCTCTTTTCTTTGATTTGTTGGTGGGTGATTAGGTGACAACAAGGAGTCCATATCGGAACAGTTGGAGCAACGTATACGCAGCCATGACAAGGAAATTGAAAGAATTTGTAATCTTTCGTATCAGGGATTTATCGATTCCATACAAGAGCTGTTGCAAGTACGAACCCAGGCACATCAGCTGGCCACTGAGGTGCAAGCGTTGGACAAATCATTGCAACAAATCAGCGCCGCCCTTATCCAGCAGGGCAATGATCTGGTTAAGGCCAGACAAATTGAATCAAATTTGGCCTCGGCCATTGATGCCCTCAAGGAATGTCTGCCTGCCTTGGAATGTTACATTCGGTTTTGCCAACAGGCTTCCAATAAACAGTACTATCAATCTCTGAGAACTCTGGAGACGCTGGAAATGCAGCACTTACCCAAATTGCAAAGTTATAAATTTGTCACACAAATGCGCCATGCCATACCGGTAATCAAAGAGAATATACGTCGTTCCTCGGAGGCTGATTTTCGAGAGTTTCTCGAGAATATACGCAAATTCTCACCCAAAATCGGCAAGGAAGCAATCGAACATACCAAGAAATTGCAAAAACGTGATATCAACACCATCATTGAAGATCATAAAAATTCGGTGAATAAACGTGACTCCACGACGGATGAGGATAATCTAAGTGCACAGGACTTAATAGATTTCTCACCCATATATCGATGCCTCCACATCTACACCGTACTGGGTCAGCGGGAATATTTCGAAAAAGATTACCGTCAACAGCGAAAAGATCAGGCAAAACTTGTGCTCCAGCCACCACCGGGAATGCATGACAATTTGGATGCCTATAAATTGTACATATGTGCCATTGTGGGGTTCTTTGTGGTGGAAGATCATGTCAAGAATACGGCAGGTGATGTGGTGACAACCAGCTATCTGGAAGAGTTGTGGTCAACATCGTTGACAAAATTTGTCAATGAAATAAGTATGAGCTCATCATCGTGTACAGATCCCAATATTTTGTTGAGAATTAAAAATCTCATTATGCTCTCCATTAATACCTTCAAATGTTATGGCTATACGGTGAATGTGCTGTGGGAGTTGTTGCAAAACATGCGAGATCATTATAATGAGGTAGCTATTTTGTAAAACTTTTTTTAAATTGGAATTTTAATATATCTTTTAATTTTAGGTTCTTTTACAACGCTGGGTCCATGTTTTCCGTGACATACTCGACAAGGAACAATTCCTGCCCATGGTCGTTGAGAATCAAGAAGAATATGAGGCAATTATTGAACGTTTCCCCTTCCATTCGGAGCAATTGGAAAATGCTCCCTTTCCCAAGAAATTCCCATTTTCTCGCATGGTTCCCGAAGTCTATCATCAAGCCAAAGAATTTATGTATGCCTGCATGAAATTTGCTGAAGACTTAACCCTCTCTCCCAATGAAGTGGCTGCCATGGTACGAAAGGCAGCAAATCTCCTGCTGACACGCAGCTTTAGTGGTTGTCTATCAGCCGTATTCCGCAATCCCAGTGTGGCCTTGCCGCAACTTATACAAATCATAATTGATACACAGTACTTGGAAAAGGCCAGTCCATTTTTGGATGAATTTGTCTGTCACATGACCAACACTTCGAGTAGTGTTACCCAATCGCATTCAGCCATGTTTCATGTGGCCCGACAAGATGCCGAACGGCAAGTGGGTATACGTATATGTTCGAAAATTGATGAATTCTTTGAACTCTCCGAATACGATTGGATGCTGGTAGAGCCCCCCGGCAAGGCGTCTGCTTTTATAACTGATATGATTTCCTATCTCTCCAATACCATTGAAAGTTTTGCCTCCAAACTGCCGAGCATAGCCCAAACGGCATGTCATCGTACCTGCGAACATATGGCGGAGAAAATTTGGTCTATACTCTTCGATGATGAGGTGAAGCAAATATCCAATGGGGCACTACATCAAATCAATTTGGATTTAATGCAATGTGAATTTTTTGCCGCAAAGGATCCGGTGCCCGGTCTCAAGGAGGGAGATCTAACAAGATACTTTTTAAAATGTCGCCAATTGTTGGACCTCCTAACAATGGAAGAGTGGGCCACATATCTGCATGATTATGGCACCAAAGAAGATCGTTACAATTTGGTACACCCCCAGTCGATAATAGTCATATTGGAGAAGATACGCGAAGCCGATAGGAAAACAATGTTTTCGGGCTTGCGTAAGAATGATAAGAAAAAGCTGCTGGAAACAGTTTTGAAACAATTGAAAAATTTAGCCGAACGACAAAATTAAAATTAGTTTAAATTGGGGTATTTATGCAAAAATTTGGCCACACAACAACATTCCTCAGAAGAGATTTTGAGAACAAAATTTGAAAAGGAAATATTGGTATTATAAGAATTAAATAAATATTAATTTTATATGTTTGGGAGAAATATCCATAAATGTGTAACATTAGTAATAATAAGGCTTTAAAAAAGTGCAAGTTATAAATAAAATAAATTATTTAACATTTACTTTATTTTTTCTTTAGAATTTTAATGGGAATAATAGATGGAAAGTGGAGGCCTTACTTTTTCTGTTTATAAGAGTTTATTATGGCTTACTTTTGGTACAAACGGAGAGCAGAGTTTCAAGTAGCCTGTTCAAGAGTTGTTTTTCCTATTTTTTTCAAAATTCGTAATGAGAATGGTTAGTTAGAGTATCGGGAAGAAATATTTGATTTCTAGGGATCCATACTGTTTTACTTGTAAAACTGTACCCATTTTCAGAGTCATTAAAAAAATGTCCTTCAAGTTGGTTGAAAAATAAGCCGAGGGTGTGTCAAGGATAGTCGGGAGACTTTGGTGGAGGAAGTATCAACATGAATGTATTATTTCCAATCATTTCCTTTTGGCCCAAAAAAACCCTCAAAAGACTTTCCTAATACGGACGAGTTGGAGCCTTCGCTATATATCGTCATACGTTGGGCGCCATACTGTGTTAAAGGTCCCTCAATTTGGGTCTATATTGTTAGGTGTCTCATTCCAAGTGTGAAGTTTTCACCAAATATAATTTTAAGTTCGTGGGAGAGTATATTTCCTTAGGCCTCGGACCTGGTGACGCTAGCATATTAAACCATCAGTAAAATCTCACGTTGGGCGCCATATTGTTATGGATGCCCCACAGAAACACCTAAATGCAGGGTGAGATATTGAATGAATATCAAAGTGATCGACACTTTGGTATTTTTACGGTCGGAGAGCGAGCATCGGCTGTTATGGCGGCCCACACCATCACTATGGCTGGCGCTTGAGTTCTGGTGGCCAACCGAAGGTGCACATTTTCAGCTAACCTCTTTGGCAAGTAAACACGTTCATTTTGTTTGTTTACAAACTGCAGGACAACGAATGTTTTCTCATCGGAGGAAACCAAATTCGGCAGTTCACCACTTTCGGCCCAGCGAAGCAACTCATTAGCTCTTTTGAGTCTATTTTCTGTTCTTTCTGTTGCGGTGTAATTTCTTGCACTTTTTGGAATTTTTAATGGCTTTACCCCGAGCTCATTTTTTAATATTTGCCGAATGGATTATTGCTATATGTTCAGCTCACGAACCACTTTTCGGCCACTGCGACGCGGGTTTAGAACAAGTCGCTTCTTTACTTTTCGAACCATTCTTGCTGGTGTTGCTGCTGTTTTCTTCCGTCCACTTCCTTGACGTAGCGCTACGCTACCAGTATCACAGACGAGTGGCTTCGGAATGACAGCAGTCTGAAGTTGGTTGCAGTTTTTTCATCTCACCCTGTATTTGATATAGAGCCTCAAAACTTGGCAGAACAATTTGTATTGTGTCTAGGATAGTTGGTATTGAAAATGAAATATATCGGTCCACGTTTTGGTATAGCCCCCATATAACGGTACCTCCCGATATTCGGTATTTTGACGATTTTTCCCATATTTTTAAAGAGATTTTTCTAAAACTTTGTATTTGTAGTTCAAAATGGGTTCTAGCTCCGGTGGCGGAACATATTATTATAGCTCTACGTTTTCGTATAGCCCTCACATAATGGCACCTCCGGATATTCAGATTTTTGGCACATTTTTCCAGGGATTTGTCTAAAAATTGGTATTTGTAGGACATAATGGGTTCTAGCTCCGATGGCGAAACATTAGGTCCACGTTTTTGTATAGCCTCCATATAACGGTACCTCCTGATATTCGGTATTTTGATAATCCTAGTCACATTTACCCCCGATTTTTTCTTTAAAATTTGGCATTTACAACTCGTAATAGATAACAATCGTTGTAATATAAAGTTGTCTATATAGGCACCCGTTTTGGTATAGATCCATATAACGGCCTCACTTTATGGTTTTTGATAAGTTTACCAGCTTTATCCAAATTGCCTCACTGGTATTTGTAGTTTAAAATGGAATACGTTTGAATTCAGATATTTTTATACAAAAATGTTTTCTTTACCCAAAGGGAGAGGGTATTAGAAGTTCGAGATTCTCTGATAAGATATTAGATTGCCGTCCTAAAGATAGATCTTCAAAATTGAATGTTGGGAGCGCCATCTATGTGTCGAAATATTAAACCGTCTTTGCTAATATAGATCTGGTAGGACTGAGATATATTCAATTCATTCTGTTACAATAGAAATGCTGCAGTAAAAAAAACCATAGCGTAGGATGCATACCAGAGGGCTGCAACGAGTATGCAAAAATTCAAGCATACTCGGTTTCTTACCTGATTTTTGTTGATGCAGTCTTTTAGTTTGATCTGAATGAAATGACTTCGGATCGAATCGAACGCTCAGTTTGAATCACTTCACTCACAATCAAACATGAGCGTTCGAGACGGTTTGATGTGTTCAGCAATGTAAGTTGATCGAACACATGAATGTAAATGAGCAATCACAACCGTGATTGTCTTCTTTGAATCGAGTTCGCTCAGCGTCATTGTTTATTCAACCATTTAATCAAGTTAGGACAGTTTATTTTGACTTTTTTAATATTTGAAATGGAAGAATATTGTGATAGTGCGAACGAAATTGTTGCAAGTAGAAACTACACAGGTGTAGGTAAACGAAGAGGTCGAAGTTTGTGAAAAATCTTGACAAATATTGTAAAATAAAAAAAATATTTAAACATTTTTAGTTTTCTAAATACCAATTATGTGTTTCTTTATTAAAAAATTTAATTTTGTTTTTTTTTTTTCAAATAAGTCACTGAAGTCTAACACCCCAAAAAACCAAATAAAACGAAAACATTGTTTAAATATAATTTGCACAAATTTTTTTATGGGGACAGCTTTTAGTTATGAAATCCTTTGTAAAATTACAATCATGATTTCGCTCAGTTTCGAACATTTGTGTTTTAATCAAATCAAATCACTCACTTAACTGGGATGAATCAAACCGACAAGACTCCTCATAGATGATCGACCCGTTATGAACAATTCAACATAAGTTCGTAAACAAATAACTCATGTGAGCTGTTTGATTGCGATCACAAAACTTCGATCAATACATGTTTGATCACAACTTTTTCGTTTGGCTTGAGTTACTCGAATGAACATGTTGCATCTGACCGACTGATTGAGTTTGATTGTATTTCCACTGTGTGTGATCAAGCCTACTCATACTCATTGCAGCCCTCTGATGCATACGACCACCGTATTATACAGTATGATTAAGGGCCTGCCGGGAGATCTTACATGAATAGAGTGTGGTTATTGTTCTGAATATTTTCAAAAAACCTCTTTAGGCTGAGAGAATAAAATAGGTTTCTTATGGACTCCAAAAGGAATTTGTCAGTCAAGCGGTCTTCCATAATTAGAATACCTCGTTTGAAGAAAACTCCACCTCATATATTAAGAAATCGTTTGTTTTTATTTATTTATCCGTTTTTGTTTTTAATATAATATAATCTTTTATTGTATATACAAATTATTATTAATAGAGTTGTATGCGAATGTGTGTGTATATGGTTTTTTTGTGTACCTTCATTTCGTATAGTTTTTTGTTTTGTTTTTACTCATTATTTAAATGAAATAAAATTTCAAATTTTGGTTTTTGTTTCGGGATATTCTCTAATAATAGTAATAAAAATTTAAAAGTTACATAGATATCTAGTTCAATAATATAACTCTATAGATTTGCGTCCAGGATGCATATGACAAATAAGTTCTCTCGCTTTATGCTTTAAACATTTAAAATGGAAAAAGATTAAAAAAAGAGGGAAACAAACAACACAGTTTTTAAAAAATAACTACATTTTCATTGATTTAGTTTGTAATTCTAGGGGATATCATTCATTCATTCGTTTTTTTTTTTCTTTTAATAAAGACAAACACATTTAATTATTTATTTTGGCTTTGCACCACACACAAATGTTTTGTTTCGTTTTGTGTTTTTGGGGGGGTAAGATGTTGTTGCGGTATTTCTTAGATTTGACACACTACAATTAATAAACTAAGGTAGCTTTAAGCTTTGTAATATATAACTAGGTCTATTTTGTTTATATGTATTATTTAATAAATTGTTTTTGTGTTTGTTTCTCATCCAAAATGTAGATTAAATAATATGGATTTCCAATTGTTGTTTTCTTTGCGCTTTGCTCGCTTCTATTTTTGGGAGAGTCACGTTTCCTTGCTAGCTCGTTTGCTGTTCAGTTTTCTCTAAGTGGACACATACATATATTGGCGTTGATGTCAACTTTTGGCTTCCAGGTGCTTGGGTGCATCGGCATAGGTGAATTTGAGTCGAAATGCTTCGGCAACCAAGACATTGATTTGACGATCAGACCAATTGTGTGTAGGCAGATTTTGTAGCAGTAATAAAAGGCCCTAGAAGGAGAACAAAAAAAAAAAGGGGATTATTGATGAGAAACATTAGACGGCAATTTCAAGAGCATGTAAAACAAGTAAAAAGACAGTGAATACCTTCCACCATTTGAAACTAATTTAGAAATTTACAAAAAATAAAATCCGTTAAATTCTGTTAAAATCCTAAAAATACCGAATATAGCGGTTATATTAGGTTATACGACGTGGACCTACATAGACTTTTTAGACATCAGCAGAAATGGTTCGAAAATAAAAAAAAAATTATTTGATCGAAAAAAAATTTGTGGCCGAAAAAGGGCTCGTAAGCTGAACATATCGCAATATTCCATTCGGCAAATGTTGAAAAATGAGCTCGGGTTAAAGCCATTGAAGTTCCAAAAACTGCAAGAACTTACACCGTAACAGAAAGAACAGAAAATAGACTCAAAAGAGCTAAAGAGTTGCTTCGCTGGGCCGAAAGTGGTGAACTGCCGAATTTGGTTTTCTCTGATGAGAAAACATTCGTTGTTCAGCAGTTGGTAAACAAACAAAAAGGTCGTGTTTACGTGGTCAGCTGAAAATGTTCACCTTCGGTTGGCCACCAGAATTCACGCGCCGGCCATGGTGATGGTATATATGTAATATTTTGGCCGTAGACCTTGGACATTTCAACAGGACTCAGCACCATCGCACTCAGCACGCGTCACCA